TACGTAGAATGTAATTTTTTACGATAAAGAAACTTAGGCTATGTAATTATATAACTAGAAGTATATAATTAGAATATTGTTCTTAATTTTAAGTGTTTGTTAAAGTTAGAAATCATTAATTTTCATAGCAATGTCACCAGTACGCCTTTAGTTCACTTTTACTTTGAACAGTATTAATGTCGATTACATCATATTTAGAAAGTTGACATTTGCGTCAGATGAATGCATAACATTTTATTTTACACATGGTTATTGTACATTTGGGATCATATCCTTATTGATTTTACGACNTCTTAAGAGATTTTAACAAAAAAACAAACTTTTTAGAAAAAAACCAGGGACTAACTTTGAATGTAAAAATGGATTCATTAACCATTGGTAAGTATGGGAAAATTGTTGTTTACTCCAGAAAAATTCATTTTTTGGCCGAAACGAAGAGTTATTATTGCTTTAAATACTCGATCCCCACCATTAAAAGTGCCACCGACCCTCACATTGACTGCCTCTCTTGTTATAGAGCACAATTCAAATAAATTTAAAAGAGACAAACCTGGCTGTTACTACAGAATCGGGATTCTTTAACATAGATTTTTTGTCTCGACTACAGGGACGCCTCAATTTCCTTTTCGCCCTATAAATCTTATTCAGTTGAATGGTCTTTATCGCAGCATCTATATTTAAGTTCATTAAAAACCACAAATCAAACGAATTGTGTGCACGCGCCGTAATGAGCATGATCTTTGGATGGTTATTTTAAATAATCCGATGTTGATAATTTCGAATCCTATACATTATAGTAAATCTGCGTACATGGAAAGCATCAAAACAGACTAAAAGGCATTTTCGAGTCGATCATTATACGGTTTTATTTGCATCTCATCTGTAGCGACATTAGTTGCCAGATTATGTATGAGAACCACGAAAACGGAGCACTCGCACCAGACACGGGCATTTAATTTTGGTTGGCCCTTACGGGCTTGCATTCGACCGGAGGCAGAGTTGTGAATCAATCTACAGTATATTATTTTCAGTTTATACAAAAGTTACCTAAGTCCCGCATAACGCTATCTAAAAAATTTGGTCACTTTATGACCCTTTAAAACACCGCTACAGATGTAGACACCCCAACCCAATTAAGTTCGATGTGAGAAAACTTTCAACAAAAAGGGATAATGTGAGCCACATATATTAAGATAAATATCGGAATAAAAATATGACACGTTCCATTAATTTTCACTGGTTTATGTCACTGTACCCTCTAATAGGGAAAGCCGTCAGCAGTTATTTAAAGTAATGTGACACATTCATAAAAACTTTATGCAAAACGTGAGCAGTTGGGATAAGTTAATTTACGCTCTCATTTTTCATATGAAAAAAAAATGAATATTTATTACAAGAGTTCAGGGTGGGAGGGGGGCATAAGGGCATAGCAACTAAATTATGTTATGAAATAACGATTTGAAATTTAAAAAAGGTCAAGTTGAACCTTTCTACTCATATACTTTATCATGGTTCGGTTAAGAAGATATATACCCCCCCCCCCCTGCCCACACTTATTTCAACCTGTAAGACTGGAATGTCGGTAGTCTGGCTCGGGCAATAAAATCTTACTATCTCCACATCTGGTTTCTATCTAGCGCGTTCAGAGCTTCAGAGCTTAGGACAAACATATTGCTCCTCGGAGAGGGGGAATAGAGGAACATGTCTTCTCAATATGGAAATCTATATATTTTTGGTAATTTCCTTTGTAACATTTACGAACACTGTAAAATACCCTTTCTCAAATTAATATGATGTTCACACATTTCTGTAAATATCCTGAATTGAAATACTAATTTTAAATGTCAGATTTATGACGAGGGAGAGAGAGGTCAAGACATTCAGTAAATGTCCCCAACTAGGGGAGAGTGTTATAAACTAAACACATCTTGGCAATAACCCGTAGCCAGTAAGACTGCTGATTGGTTTACTTATTATGATAAACATTATTGTTTATATTTTTATTAATATCAAACAATTTTACTGTTTGCAGGTATACCTGTTTGGAACCTGTACTCTGCGCCATATAATAGCAATGGTGCAAAATAGTGATATTCTTCAAATATTAAATTTTATTAAATGGTTGAATACAACATTAGTTATAGAACAGTAATAGAATTCAGTATAATGACATGTAGGAAGGTGACCATATTGTGCTGCAGGCAGCTTCGACATTGTACGGTGTAGATATAATGGTGGTGTCTAGCTTAGGCGAAGAAGCAACTCAGTTTTTGCATTCCACGACTGAAAATGGTGATGTCAGTCAACCGAACATGATTATTCTAGGACATCTCGCAGAACACCACTATATTTCACTTCAGGCATTAAATTTTAGCACACCCAGCGGCAATGACAGTAGCTCCAGTATCACAGCAGATGTTACATCTATTAATGAACCTGGTAGTTATAATTTCATTTCGTCAATATATGCCCGGAATTTTGTCGGAGAGGGAAATTTCTCGAGTTTGTTCACTGCCCTGTGAAGCCATATTTTGTGGCCTGAGATGCTGTATCCGTTACTTCGTGACCTGACCTGTCAAAAGCACGTCTGGGCGCTCTTTTCATCTTTCAATTCTTCCACATTAATCAAGATACGGAGTATCAATTACAAGTGCCCGGGGAGGGGGGGG